GAGTTGGATGCTTAACCAACTGAGCCACTCGGGTACCCCCAAGCGAGAGAAGATATTTGCAAATCAAATATCCATTAAGGGGTGGAATACTCAAAATATATAAAGAACTTATACAACTCAACACCAAAAAAACCCAAATAATCTGATTAAAAAAAAAGATATGGTGAGCGCTGTGAATTGTGTAAGACTAGTGAATCACAGACCTGTACCTCTGAAACAAATAATACATTATGTGTTAAAAAAAAGAAGATAGTAGGAAGGGAAAAATGAAGGGGGGGAAATCGGAGGGGGAGACGAACCATGAGAGACTGTGGACTCTGAGAAACAAACTGAGGGTTCTAGAGGGGAGGGGGGTGGGGGGATGGGTTAGCCTGGTGATGGGTATTAAAGAGGGTACATATACTGAATAGAGGGAGCACTGGGTGTTATATGCAAACAATGAATCATGGAATACTACATCAAAAACTAAGGATGTAATGTATGGTGATTAACATAACATAATAAAATATAAAAAAAAGAGCTTTTCCTCCCCATTTTTGAAAGGAAGTAACCATCTCTAAGCAATTGACTATATGTGTGTGCTCCTCTTATTTTTTTAAAAAATACACCCATATATTAAAGATGATGGTGGTTTTAAAATAACACATCTCTATATTATTTAATAACAATGTGGCTTGGCAATTTTATTTTTTTATGTCTGAATAATAAACATTCAGAGTGTGAACATGGAGAAAAAATAAATAAAAACAGGCAGAGAACCTGAATAGGCAGTTTTCCAAAGAAGACATACAAATGGCCAACAGACACATGAAAAGATGCTCAACATCACTAATCATCAGGGAATGCAAATTAAAACCACAATGAGATAACACTTTACACCTGTCAGAATGGCTAAAATCAAAAAGACAAGAAATATCAAATGTTGTTGAGGATATGAAGAAAAAGGACCCCTCATGCACTGTTGTGGGAATGGAAATTGGTGTAGTGACTGTGGAAAACAATATGAAGGTTCCTCAGAAACTTAAAAACAGAATTACTGGATGATCCAATAATTCTACTACTGGGTATCTACTCAAAGAAAACAAAAACACTAATTCGAAAAGATATATGCACCCCTATGTTTATTGCATTATTTATAATAGCCCAGATATGGAAGCAACCCAAGTGGCATCAATAGATGAATGGATAAAGAAGGGGTGTGTGTATAACACACACATATACACAGTCACGTACGTATGACGGAATATTACTCAGCTATAAAAAATAATGAAATCTTGCAATTGCAACAACATGGACGGACCTAGAGGTTATAATGCTAAGTGAACTAAGTCAGAGAAAGACAGTTACCATGTGATTTTACTCATATGTGGCATTTAAGAAACAAACAAAGGAAAAGTGACCAAAAAACCCAGACTCTTAAATACAGAGAACAAACTGGTGGTTGCCAGAGGGAAGGGGGTGGGGGATGGGTGAGATAGCTGAAGAGGATTAAGAGTCCACTTACCTTGATAAGCCCCGAGAAATGAAAAAAATACACATATAATTGCAGTGATGTTGCTATTTACTGTTAGTGGATATTTCTTCATCATTATAAGGCAATTTTTTAACAGATACAATGAAAACTTAGCAAGCTTTTTATGACCAGTCTACCAAGATGGACTTAGTGACAGAATTAATCCTCAGCAGATTGTTTGCTTATACATCTAAAAATTGGCTGTGCATGGAGACCTTTTGCAATGCAAGGAACACTGTCAACTTAAAAATATTGTTATTTCTAAAGCCATTTTAGATGGAATTATACTTTTTAATAAGTTAGGAAGATATTGTGTTTATCGTCTTCTGATTGGAGTTTTTGATGCAGTTAAAAGTATCCAAGTGAATATTCAGTTAACAAAACTGATTTTTGTGCTTTGGCTACAACACCTTCCTGAAAACTGCAATTATTTAGTGTGGCACAGGTAAAGGCTGAAGCCAAATATGAGTCACTTCTTCTTTGGTTGCATTAGAAGCCACCTTTGGGCCTGAAATGTTACTGGCACTTCTCTTTCTTTACCTCTTTGTCACTTTCTGATCAAAAGCAGACTTCTTTTTTTTTTTTTTTAATTTGGAAAATCCAAAGTATTTGTGTCCAGAAAGAGCAGTAAAAGAAGAACTCTAGGTGCACAAGGAAGACCAAAGCATGTCCTCAAGTCAGCTGAGAGCCTCCTGTGTTTTCCCTGTTCCATTTTGTCTTTACATACAAAGCCAGCTAAAGTAATTGCTATCTCAAATAGGGTTTTATTTCTTGGAATTCAGCCTGTTAGCACAAATAATCCCTAATAAGTACGAAGCTAGTTTAAGGCTCTAAAACAAAGCCAGAGTTTTCTCTCTTGTATCTCACCATCTTGGCTGATTCTGAAGTTGGTAGACTTGCAGAACGTTAGAAACAAATCACAGATCTATCTTTTCAGATTCCAGGCCTATCATAATCTTTTCACTTTGAAAACCGAGCTCTTAAGAGAGCAGAAAGGTCCAGTGTTTGACCAGGTCCTTTTTATTCGTTGTCCTGACTTCATCTCCCTCTGAAGTACCTTTAACTGAGATGCTTCCTCCCCCCCGCCCCCCGCCACATTTCAGTAAAGGGAAAATAACTCTGGAACAGCCAGGGATGTAAAATTTATTGGAAAAACACTAATTGCCTTGTCCCTGAGGGGCAGTGTGTGTAGTTAGACACTGAACCACAGGTTTCGTTTTTGGCAAGAGAATGGACATGCACTACAGGAGAAAAAGAGTAAGTGAATGATTTCAGTGAAATATTTCCCCAGAGATCTGTGGGTGTCAGAAGGAAGAGGAGGGAGCGTTGTACCCAGTTTATCATCCAAATTTGTTGTTCCCTCTGAAGCAGAGTCTGTTCTTTCCCAGCTCAATTTGAGACACTCTGTGTCCCTGTCTTTGGTTGGGAACAGTTAGCATGTGAAATTCCTCAAGGTTAAGATGACGGTTAAGGTAGGATGGATGAAGTGAAATGAGTTTCCATTTTTCATCATCCGACAGGGCTAGTGGTCTGGCTAAGGCGGTATGTGTATACTGTGTGCATCCTTTCAAATGTGCTCACTTGAGATATTTGCATATATGAGACAGTAAAAGTTACTGCTTCCATTCTGATTGGTTAGTAACACTGTGTAGGAGTACTACATAGTACTAGCTGGGAAATAGTACCCGGGAAGCTAGTGGAGCCCCGAGCGTGCCTTGGGGAAGAGATGACACCTATGTTGTTTGTCACTGGACCATTATACACCAAATGGCTGAGGTGCTGACTCCAAATCAGCTACTTAGTTTTCCTAAGAGACAGAGTGCCACTGTGTCAGCTGCCAAACAAGAACAAAAAATCGAAAATAGAAAAGTAAATTTATTCTCAAATTAAGTAAGTTGTCTTAAAAACAACCTTGCATGAGCTTAACACTGTAAACAAAGCATGAGGCTTTTCTTCCTCGGAGAAGCTCCAAAGAGTATTGACCTTAGTGTGCAGCTACCTGATTGTGATGTCCCAGAATACACAAAGCTGCGGCTTCCCAGACAGACAATTAAATTTGAATGCAGAAGACATTAATGAAACATTAAAGTATGTAAATCAGTGTGTGATTCATAGTAACACAAATGGTCCTACAGTGAAGTATTTCAGAGTTCATGGTTTCCCTAATCATCTCTTCATGTCTGTTTTGTTTCCTGGCTTCCTAATGCTAAGACATCATACCATTTTTTTTTTCTTTTTTTAAATATCAAGTGCTGAGAGGGTTCCTCGGGAAAAGTGGCATTCTCGGAGGTAAACAGGATCCAGATCGCTTAAGGTTTATTGATTTTATGATCAGTACTTAGGTTGCTGCTAAAAGCAGATAGGTTTCCAATACATATCTGAAACCGTAGGGGCCTTTTCACCTCCATCCATCTTGAGGGGCAGTGAAAACTCGCTTTGCAGGCGATTACTAAGGATCCATCTTCAGGAGCAGTGAAAACTCGCTTTGCAGGCAATTACTAAGGAAAACTCAAACGTCGTTAGGGTCACTCATCTGGGGAATACCAGCTTAAGCTAATATAAAATACTATTATTTAACTCTGATGAAAAAGAAGTCAGAGTGATTATCAAAGAATCAAAGGGGAACTTAAAGCTTTTAGAAGACTGGCAATCTCATCTCCATTACTGGGTTTTGTACTTGTAACATTTGGTTGGGGTTTATTTCTTTACCAGATGAGACTAATGTTAAGAGTGCTTTGATGATATCACCATTTTTGTGGCTCACCACCCATTCTGGATTGGTTAATTAATCCATCACCTAACTGGCATTGTTCTTGTATAATGCAGTGAAATCTCTTCAACGGGAATTTATAAAATAAGTTGAGAGTACAATAAAACTTGTTAATCCAGAGGCTTCCATTATTAGGAACTTGTGATTACTTGATTTGTGCTTAACTGGAACTTCTCTTTAATATCTGTGGAAAACAAGAGCCTTGGTAATATACTGTTCTAGAATTTTTACTTTCATGAACTACTGGTATTTGAATGGATAGAAAGATACACCCTGGAGAAGGGAGAAGAGACAGCCCACAGTGTTAGGGTTGCTCAGTTTCATTTGAGAATCTGAAGGGAGAGAGTATCTTGAGGCAGAAGAGCAGAAATAGCCTACGAGGCAGAACGTAAGGAAGGATTTCAAAAGGAATGTCTTCATATATGCATATTTCGTGGGCAGCAACATGATGTATAGAAAAGAATGTTAGGACAGAACTGAGGAGACTTCAGATTGTGAACTGGAGGGAATATCCAAATGTGAGGTATTATTAGTATTTGGGAAATTAACACTAGGAAGATGAAAAGTATAAGAAGAAAGGTATTTAAAGTCAAATCTGCCATGTCTTGTAAAGGGAATAAAGCTTTAGTAATGTATGACATGTTTTTCTTAAATAATTTTAGGTTTTTCTGTTAACTGATTCATTTAAATAAAAACTGCTGTTTTTGTCCTTAACAGGGCCGGTGGGAGAGTCAACAGGATGTATCGCAAACTGCAGTTTCCAGAGGAATAGCTCCAGTTGCCCCATCCCTCCCTGACTGTCCCCCAAATAACCATTCTCCTGATCCAGGTAAGTTATATTTTCATTTGTCAATCACTGTCATGAAATTTGAGCACCTTTCAGAAATAGTTTAAGTCAGGATTTCCTACCACGTAACTATTGACTACTAGTTAATGTCATCTGATTTTTTCCCTTTTTCGTCTTAACATGAACATGTTGAGTTACGCTCATTTTTGAATGTGGAATTTATATTGCATCCTTCTGATAAATACCACCTGATCATGATATGTTATCCTTTATATGTGCTTGAGTCTATTTGCTAATATTTCATAAAGGATTTTTGTGTATATGTACTATGATGAATATCTACTTTCCTTTTCTCATAATAATGTGTTAGGTTTTGGTATCATGATTATGTTGGCCTCATGAAATGATTTGGGAAATATTTCCTTATCATCGTTTTTTCTGGAAGATTTTATGTACTGAGTATTGCTTCTTCCTTAAATGTTTGACAGGATTCACCCATGACACTATCTGGGCCTGGAATTTTCTCTTTGGGAACTTTTAAATTATGACTTTACTTTCTTTAACACAGGGTTATTTAACTTTTTATGTTTCCTTATGAGTCAGTTTTCATAAGTTATGTTTTTCAGGGAATTTTCTGTTTCATCTAAATTTTAACATTTATTTCAATAAATGTTACAGTGTTCCCTATTGCCCTTTTAAGTGTTTGTAGGATCTGTTGTGATGTTCGTTCTTTTTTTTTATTTTTTATTTTTTTAAGGAAAAAAAATGTTACTTTAAAGATTTTATTTATTTATCTTAAAGAGAGAGAACACAAGCCAGGGAGAAAGGCAGAGGGAGAGGGAGAAGCAGACTCCTCGCTGAGCAGGGAGCCTGACGTGGGACTCCATCCCAGGACCCTGGGATCATGACTTGAGCGAAAGGCAGATGCTTAAGCAGCTGAGTCACCCAGGCACCCCTTCTTTTTATTTTTGATAATTTTTGTTTTCTTCCTGGTTTTCTTGACTACTTTTGAGACATGTTTTAGTTTTCTCAGTCTTCTCCCAGAACGAAATCTGGTCTTACTTACTTTATTGTTTATTTTCTGTTTCATTGATCTCTATTTCTTTCTGCATTTCACAGATTTTGGAATGTGGTGCTTTCATTTTCATTCCATTCAAAATATTTTCTAATTTCCCTCTGATTTATTCTTTGACCCATGCGTTATTGGAATAGCATGTTAATTCATTTTCATATGTCTGGGGTGGGTGGGGAACTTCTTTTTATTAATTGATTGCTTATTTAATTTCATCATGATCTGAAAGACTCTTGAATATTTCAGTCTTTTGGAATGTTTTTGAGCCTGTGTTCTATCTTGGTAAACATTCTATGCATGCTTGAAGAGAACCTATTCTGTTTGTGGGCGTAGTGTTCCGTATATGTCAATTAGGGCAAGGTGGTTGATAACCTTGTTCAAATCTGTTCTTTAAATATTGTTATACTGATTTTTTTTTCTATTTGTTCTATCAATCACTGAGACAGAGGACATTAAATCTCCAAATCTGATCATGAAAATTACCTGTTTTTCCCTTTATCAGATCTGTTTTTGCATCATTCTTTTAGGAACTCTGTTAAGTATATACGTGTTTAGGATTGTTATTTTTTCCCGATAAAGCGATATTTCTATCATTATGACTGTCCCTTTGTATTTCTAGAATTCTCTTAACTTTGAAATCCGTCTTACCTGATATTAATATAGCCACATCAACCGTCTTTTGCTTATTGTGTGAATGGTGTATCTTTTTCTTAGTCTTTTAAATTTTGGCCTGTATTTGTTCTTTAAATTAAAAGTGATTGTCTCGTAGACAGCATATAGTTAGGTGTAACTTTTTTCTTTTTATCTAGTCTGATAATTTCTGTCTTTTAATTGGCATGTTTAGTTTTTTTACGTCTAATATTATTGTTGTTACGTCTTTGAATTGCTGTTGGTTTCTCTTTGGCCTTTCTATTTTTTTCTCCACTGTAACTTCTTTTTTGCTTTCTTTTGGGTAATTGAAAAATATTTTTTAGTATTTAATTTTATTTCCATTTCTAGCTTTTTGGTATTTCTGTATTTATTTATTAAAGTCTTTGCTCAAGGACTGTAGTATGGATTCTTAATTTATCATAGTCTACTTAGAATTAATAATATATCACTTCCCACTGCACAAATATTAGAACCTTGTATAATTCTTTTTGCCTGTTCCCAATCCCCCCTTATTTCGTATTATTTTTGTTATATCTTTTACAGACATTATGAACACTTTTTACAGTGTTACTCTTTTTTGCTTTATTATTATTATTTTTTATTTTATTTTTATTTTTTTAGTTTAAATAATTTTTTATTGTTATGTTAATCACCATACATTACATCATTAGTTTTTGATGTAGTGTTCCATGATTCATTGTTTGTGCATAACACCCAGTGCTCCACGCAGAATGTGCCCTATTTAATACCCATCACCAGGGTAACCCATCCCCCCACCCTATTATTATTATTTTTTAAAGATTTTATTTATTTATTTGACACAGAGAGAAAGAGAGAGATCACAAGTTGGTGGCGGGGAGGTGGGCAGAGACAGAGGGAGAAGCAGGCTCCTGGCTGAGCAGGGAGCCTGATGCGGGGCTCGAGCCTAGATCCCCTGAGATCATGGCCTGAGCCGAAGGCAGACACTTAACTGACTGAGCCACCCAGGTGCCCCACTCTTTTTGCTTTAAAACAGCCACTATCTTTTAAGGAAATTGGGACTATAGATAATCTTTTATATTTTTCTTCATATTAATTATTTCTGGCACTAGCCAGTCCTTCCTAAAGTCTTACATTTATCTGATATCATTTTTCTTTAGCCCAAAGGATATTCTGTAGTATTAGTTATTTTGCAGTTGTCTTAGAAAAGAGTGCTTTCCCCTTTTGGGATTATCTTTATTTCACTTTTTTTGGAAGGATTTTTCCACTAGCAGCACTTCAAAGATCTTATGTTATCTTTTAGATTCCTTTTATGCTGAGAATCAGTCATCATTTGTGTCTCTTTTCCCTACGTGTAATATGTGTCTGTTTACTCTGTTACCTGGTTTGCTTTCATAGCTTTCTCTATTTTTGTTGGACTATGATATTCTTAGGTATCGTTTTCTTTGCACTTATCTTGCTTGCATTTCATTGATGTTCATGGATCTGTAAGTTAAGTTTTCAACAAATTTAGGAAATGTTCAGTTATTATTTCATTAAATTATTACCCCTGGCCATTCCTCTCTTTCTCCTCTTCTGAGAATCAAATTACACACATGTTAGATTGCTTAATATTACCCTACAGGTCACAGAAGCTCTGATTTTTTTAAATTTTTATTTTTCATCTTTTTATCTTGTTTCTTCTGGTTGCATAATTTCTCCTGCCATTTCCAACCTTCTGTTAAGCACATCCAGAGAATATTTTATTTCACTTATTCTTCTTTTCAGTTCTAGAATTTCTGCTTGCTGCTTCTTTTAAAGTTTTAATTTCTCTGCTGATATTCTCTACCTGTACATTTGTTAAGATCAGATTCTTCTTTACTTCCTTGGACCTGTGTATAAAAGCTGCTTTAAAGTCTTTATCTGCTAAATCCAGCATCTGGGTTGGATAGTCCAGCCTTGTCAGAATGCCAGTCAAGAGAAATAGACCATTTCTCTTGACTGCTTTTTTTCTTGACTATGGGTCATAGTTAATGAGTTTTGACCATTGTATTTACCCGTGTAACTTATATCCCAGTCAAGATACACAATATTTATATGACTCCAGTTACTCTCCACAATCAGCCAATGTTCTGAGTTCTATCCTTTCAGATTAGTATTGCCTGTTCTACAATTTCATACAAATGGAATCATACAGTATGTACTCTCTTTATGTTTGGCTTCTTTTATTTATCATTTCTGTTTACATCTCCATACCATTGCATCTTTCAGTAATTTATTTTTTATTGTTGAGAAAAACTTCACTTATACAGTTGAGTTTATCATAATTTTTAATTAGTTCTTCTGTTTGTGGACATTTAGTTTGTTTCTAGTTTTTGGTTACTGTGAATAAAGTTTGTTCTTATACAAGTCATTTTGTGAACATTTCTCTTGAGTTAATACCTAGGAGTGAAATTACTGGGTCATAGAGTACCACCTTGTTTTAAAGTTCTGTAATTTTTTTTTTTTTTTTTGAGAGAGAGAGAGCATGCATGTATGCATGCCAGTGTGGCGGGGGGGAGAGGGAGAGAGAGTCTTAAGCTGGGTGTGGAGCCCAACATGGGGCTCATTCTCACGACCCTGCTATCGTGAGCCAAGATCACAAGTTGGAGGCTTAGCCAACTAAGCCACCCAGGTGCCCCAAATTTGTTGTTTTAAAAAAAATTTGTGGGGTGCCTGGGTGGCTCGGTCAGTTAAACGTCTGACTCTTGGTTTTGGCTCAGGTCATGATCTTGTGGTCATGGGATCGAGCCTGCATATGGCTCTGTGCTTAGTGCGAAGTCTGCTTCAGATTCTCTCTCTCACTCTTCCTCTCTCTCTCTTTCTCTCTCAAATAAATAAATAAATAAAATCTTTTAAAAAGTCTGTAATAGTAGTGCCTGGGTGGCTCATTTGGTTAAGCGTCTGACTCTTGATCTCAGCTCAGGTCTTGATCTCAGGGTTGTGAGTTCCGGTCCCAAGTTGGGCTCCACACTGGGCATAGAGCCTACTTAAAAAATAATAATAATAAAAAAATAAAATTTAATTAAAAAAATTTGTAATTAATGCTTACTTGATTTACATATTTACCACTTTGCTTTGCTCATTGTTGCTTCTTGCATCTCACTTTGTTCTTCTGAGTTTAGTTTCTTTTTTGTGAATTATATTCATCATCAGTGCATTTAGCAGTCATCTGTTAGTGACAGACCCTTTCTTTTATATGTTTAAGTTTTTATTTTGCTTTCACGTTGGAAGAATTCTTTTACTATGGTATTTATGGTATATATCAAACATACAAGAGTATAAAGAGTAACACAGTGTGCCCTCAAGTACCCCCTCCCTTCAGAATGATCAGTTCATCACCAGTCTGATTTATCTCTGCTCCTGCTGCTTCTCTACACCCTCTTATGATTAATTTGAAGCAAATCCCAGATATCATTTCATCTGTAAATATTTGTACATGTATCTCTAAAGCAATACCCCCAAATAACATTTTGCTCTTAAGAAAATTTAAAAATAAGTGCTAGCTAGATATCATCAAACATCTAGTCAGTATTTATATTTCTCCAGTTGGATCAAAAATATTTTTCAGTTATTTTAAGTGAAAATCCAACTGTAAGGTTCATATATTGTGATGAGTTGGTATATGTCTTGAGTTGTTTAATGTATATGTTCCTCTCTCTTTCCCCCATGCATTGTATATGTTGGAGAGACTGCCTGTGTGGTAGACTCTGTATGCTCTTACTTTTGCGGGTTATATCCCCATGAGGTTTTTTAAACATGGTTCTCCGTCTACCATATTTCCTGTGAATTGGTGATTAGCTCTACAGTCTTGAACAGATTCAGGCTAGTTTGAGGGAGGGGTGGGAGGTAGAATAAATGAAAGCGTAGTTTTGTGTATTTACCTCAGAAGACACATCATGTCTGATTGTCTCGCTTTTTTTTTTGATTGTCTCTCTTTATGATATATGCAGCCTTTGATAGATCATTGGCTAGATCTTTATTTAATTAGGGGTCGTCCTCAGTGTAGAATTAATTTCTTGTATATAGAACTCTAGATTGTCCTTTTTTTTTTCCCCCTAGCATTTCGATGATTATGTTCTTCTGGCTCTTTATTCATATCAAACTTATTTCTGTTTGTTTGTTTTGTTTTCTCTTTCCTACTTTTGCCTTGTAAATCAATGGACTTTTTTGAACTCAGTTTTAACATATCTCTTGGCATTTATAGTTATCTCTTTGCTTTATGTTTTTAATGATTGCTCTCATGATTATAAAAATCCTTACCTTTTCACAGTCTACTTAGAGTTAATATTATACTACTTTATGTAAAATGTACAAGCCTTGGAACTGTGTGGGTCCATGTACCAACTGTATTACCGATGAACTTGGAGTCATTTCAGGGGTCAGTGTGGGGCAGAGGCATGCGGGTGGTTGTGTGTTTCTGTTCAGGCAGTATCACACACAAATTCTCAGGTTGACTTGCTTATTCTTTTTAAAGTGTTGTATGGATACAGTGTTTTATCATTTATGAGTTAGATTACCTTTCCCTAGAAATTTAGTTTTATTCACTAAAAGGAAAGAAATCTTATATCATAGGCATTCTCTGCATGTCTGATCCCAGCCTTTGGTAATTTAGAACAGGTTGGTTCAGGGCATCAATTCCTTTCTTGTGAAAACAACCCAAACATCACCCTTTTTCTAAAAGGCCCATTTCATCATCTTTATTCAATAAGTAGATATGAAAAACTAAAGTTGTAGAAGACATAGTCCCTGACTTCAAAGAGTTTAAAGTCTAGATAGAGAGCTATACATGTGTGTCATTAGCTATGTGATTTAAAAATGAAAAACCCTATCTTATTTTAGGACAGAAGTTAGTATGTGAACCCATTAGTGACGAGGACTGGGGTTGGATTACCCTTCTGATACTAATAGGAACATTGGATATTGGAATGTTGTAGAAATACCCTAACTGCTGTTATTTAATTGGAAAAAGGAAACAACATTGTGTTTGAGGGTAGCTATGATAATACTATGTTTTTCTAACATTTTTTAAGGGTACTTTTTAAGAATTTATATTATTAGATTCACTACAAATGAAATTTGGCAAATTTATGGGAGAGAAAAATGTCTACATTGTTGTTTCCATTTGATCTCTTTTCCTTTCAATATTGTTGACAGGACTTAGTAGCCTTGCAGCCTCGTACTTGAATCCAGTAAAATCCTTTGTGCCACAGATGCCAAAGCTCTTGAAGTCTCTTTTCCCTGTCCGCGATGAGAAAAGGGGCAAACAGCCTTCTCCCCTCGCACATCAGGTAAGAGCATCAGGAAAGCAACAGTGAACAGTTTCTAATTCCTGGCGGAATGATGCTCTGTGTTGCACTGACACTGGAGGGAGAGGGGTAGCAGGGGTGGGGGGCCTTGGAAGTGGGCTTTTAGGCCCACTAAAAGCTTGTGATCATTTCTCCTCCACCCTCTTCAGAGGTAACAGAGCTGTTGAAACTTATTGACGGTCTCAATCCTTTTTGCTTTTAAAAAATGCCGAGTACACTGCTAATGTGATTTATGGTAATATTACTTAGAGCAACAATAGTAAAATTTATGAAGTGCACTTAGCGTTGTTTGTGTATTGCCAAACAGAAAATGTAATTCTATTTTTAATTCTTGATTTCATTTCTTATTTCAAACAATTTTATATCATCACTGTCCTTCCCTCTCCACCTCTTTTTCCTCTGCTGTGGTTTACCTGTTCCTTCATTTAAAATATTAAATGTGATCACTTGTTTTATTTCCCCCTTTTCTTGAAACTCTCTGCCCAGCCTTCAAATAAGTTTTTAGAGAAAATCTTAAAGGGTTTTCCACATAATCAGGAAACTGCTCGTATGCACTGGTGAATGGGAAGCCTCTTGGAAATGTAATTTCCAGCCTTATGTAGGTGTGAATTCAGCAGAAAATGATAAATGAGGATTTATTTATACTCCTTAAAAAACACATACAGTGCAAGACATCAGCTTATTCACATTCACTGAAAACATTCAAGTTGCAGAAATGCAGGTGAGTCCTTGTCCGAGACCTTAACTATTTAAAAGATTTTCTGAGTTTATGAATGCATATTCAAGGGTGGTGGTATTAGTTTTGTAAGGCTGCTCTACAGATATATAATATTTTAAATCTAGCGTTATATAAGCATGTACTTAAGCAGACATGGACACATACTGTATGAAAAAAATAAAGATCACAATTTTGGATGTTTGAACTAAATTTAAGCACATAAGGGGTGCTTGGCAGTTACCAAAGAATCTAGGACCACGAGAGCTACAAGAAATAGCAAGTCTAATACTTGGTTGGGGCTTAGGCAAAAATGATTTTTCCAAGGATTTGCTGTTGCATATGTTATTCTGTCCTAAACTTATACGTCATTATTTTGTAATGTATGACGCATGGATTCTCTGTCAGAATTTCCATGGTAGCTTTTTAAGAAGGTAACTTTAAAAACAACAATAACAGCCTGACCTCCTAACCCAGACCCCATCTGGGGGTGCCTTTACAACCTGTGTTGATAAGCACCCAAGGTGATTTTATCAAAACGTATAGTTGGATAACCACCCTTTTTCAGTCGCTATTTGGTGAAGACAGAGTTCTAGAAGTTAAAGGAAATTGGCATGGCATTAGAAGGTACTGAATCAGACTGCTATAGTTAGTTAGAGTTAGTTTTTAAAAACTACTTTGAGTTTTTGATATGGCCAGTCAGATCACCTGCTACAATAAATTGTTTTTACTGTTTTGCTGGTAAATGACTGGTTCTTCTGGATATGAGAGGAATAATCATGTGTTTGAAAGAAATGTAGTGATGGCAGATAACTGCCTTTTGTAATGTCCAGTTTAAGAAAGGTGATCTTGCGATATTTTGAAGATCTTTTGTGCAATATTTGTCCATTCGGTTTACTTCTTTTGAGCATATATGAGCAAAGATATTGGAGAAAGTGGCCCCAGATAGTTCATATTTCATGAATAAATGAAAATATAACTACAAAGCTGGTCTTAATGAAGATGCCCAGTGGTGGAGCTAAATGGTCCAGTTGGTTTGTGAAACCCCTACTCCACCGAAGGGCCTTCCCTGAAGGTCACCAGGGAGCTGCATCTTGCCTGCATACCCATTCCAGGGTCCTCTTCTGACTTGACATCATACTTCAAACACTTTCATCTCTAGGCTTCAGTGTGGCGACATTTGCATGGTTTCTCTCCTGCTGACTGCTCAGTCTTTCTCAGTTGCCTTTTCTGGGACTGTTTATTCCATCAGGCTGCTAACATTCAGGTGCCCCAGAGCTCCATCCTGGGCCTTCTGTCCATGGGTCATCTCATTCAGTTCCATGGCTTTAACTATTTCTGCATTGACAATGTTCATATTTCTATCTCTAGCCCAGACTTTGCCCCTGAGCTCTGGCCTCATGGAGCTAAATGCCCATTGAGCTTTTCTAGTTGTAAATCAATTAAGCATTCACATTTTACCAGTCCAGAACATTTCTGCTCATAAGTCTGTTTACCCCCAACACACAAAATACTTAAAAATACATGCCCATCAGGCGCCTGGGTGGCTCAGTCAGTTAGGCATCTGCCTTCAGCTCAGATCATGATCTCAGAGTCCTAGGATCTAGTCCTGCATCCGGCTCCCTGCTCAGCGGGGAGTCTGCTTCTCCCTTTCCCTTTGCCCCTCCCCCTGCTTGTGCTCTCTCTGTCTCTCTCTCTCTCAAATAAATAAATAAAATATTTTAAAATAATACATGCCCATCTCAGTATGTAGCACAAATATCCACCCAGTTGCTCATACCTCACAAAGAGTCCACCAGTAAGATTTCATAGGTACCACTTATAATCCGGTGACTCCCGGTCATCTACATTTCTCATCATTCATTCTTGCCACCCTGGTCTCTTGCCCAGATGATTACAGCAGCCTACATACAGGTCTGTCTGACACTTTTTGCTTCATAAAAGTCTTTTATTCATGAAGTAGCCAAAGTGACCTTCCAGAGTCTTACTTTAGTTCATGGCTTGAAATCCTCACTGCTTCTCATTGAATAAAATCTAAATTCCTTACTGTGCCTTACAGTGTCCTATATGATCTGGACCCCTGACCTTTAATCTTTATGCCTTTTATTTCCTCTTCGTTCACCATACGAAGCCATGTTGGCCTTTTCCTTCCTTCCTTCCTTCCTTCCTCCCTTCCTTCCTTCCTTCCTTATTTGAGAGAGATCGTGAGAGAGCACACTAGGAGGGGGCAGGGAGGGGCAGGCTCCCCACTGAGCGGGGAGCCTGATGCGGGACTCTTGCTCTTGATCCCAGGATTCTGGGATCATGACCTGAGCCAAAGGCAAACGCTCAACTTGACCGAGCCACCCAGGCACCCCTCTTTCATTCTTATCTCACGAACACATGAAGTTTATTTTGGTGTCAAGAATTTTTTGCATTTGCCTTTCCTTCTACTTGGAATCCTCTTTCATAAAGTCTTTGCATGGCTACCAGGTCTCTAGTAGAGTGGTCTGCTATTTAGAATGGTCAAGAAAGGCCAGTCTAAGGAAGTACGTGTGCGTATAGAGTGGCCTCAACCAATTAAACTAAAACAACAGCTTCCACCACATCAATACTATTCCCATATTTTTTTTAATCTTTTCATTGGATGTTATTGTTATGTTTATATGTTTATTGATTAGCTCCTCTCTAGAATATAATCCTTGAGGGCAGGGGCATAGTTGATACGAAATGTGTATTGGTTGAACATTGACATATATTCAGTTTATAATATTAGGTAGTTTTTCTGTATCAGTGTCACCCAGTGGTATAAAACACTGTGTTTATAGTTTACAGGTGAGAGAATCAGATCTGAGTGGGGACTTGCGATATCAAGACATAATTATGAACTTTCTTTCCTAGATTGATGCAAGTTCCACTAAAGAACTATTGCTAAATGGGGGGACAACTTAAGCTTATCATTAGGATTTAGTTGGTGAAAGACTCTTGTGTTCATCTCATTTTTATTGACTATCTCTGGTAAAACTTTAAGAGCAGTAAATTATAATTTTAAATGACATTGTCAAATAGAGGTTCCTTACTAGGGCCACTTTAAATATGCTTTAAGTTGTTGCCATCTGAATGGTGTTTCATAGGAGCACTGTAATGCCAATGGGATTTCAGAATAACAGCAATAAGAACAATGCTGTATTCATTAGATTTTTTTTTTAGTACCCCCAACTTTTAAATTTTTATTTATTTATTTATCTTTTAAGATTTTATTTATTTATTTGACAGAGAGAGACACAGCGAGAGAGGGAACACAAGCAGGGGGAGTGGAAGGGGGAGAGG